AACCCAAGACGCTCGGTCACAGTATGAAAGCAAATCACTGTCAAAATCCGAGCGCGCAAATGAGATCCACGTGCGCACATGCAAATTAAACAGCCGCGCGCATATTTTACTTTGACGAGCGCTTTTACATTACTCCGCGCAGAATAGCTCTGCTCGCGCAAGCAAAATTGCAGCCTGCAAAATTGCAGCCTGCGAGGAGAAAACCATGCTTTGAGCGCATGTTCTGAATCATACGGTGTCATGTTTCGTTGTTCACCTTGCTATTTAGGGTGCCTAAATACGCGGGGGGGGGTCCCCTTGCATGCGACTACTATCACTGCTCTTCTGCTTGCGAAACCTTTACTTGCTCACTCGCGAGTCTTTTACCTGCTTGCTCGCGAGTCTTTTACCTGCTCGCTCACGAGTAGATTTTCTTTTTGACACTTTGGCCCAATCCCAATGTCCCCCCTTACGGACTCACGGACTTTGAGGCGCGCTCCCGCGAAGTCCGTGAGGGTTTAGGGCTGTCCCACTGTCAAATCGTCAACTGTTTGAGGGCTCTCTGGCAGACATTTTGAGCCCTTTATGAACCCTTTCCGTAAATCAGCATGGTATGCTGACTTAGCCCAAGGGAATTACCCACAAATCATTGCAATGTGACGTTAAACACGGGGTACCCAGTGGACGCATGGAGACGTAAAAAAAAGGTAAACAAAGAGGACGGCTCATGTGTGTTCAGCCTGGAGTATTACATTTACTCAGAAACATTAAGGGTTAAAGATGGAACAAAAAATAAACTTGAAATCAGAAGATATTTATTCATCAAATATTTGATTTTGTCATCAAAGATGTTTTTGATAAAAACAAGTAAATATATAATATGAAGTTACCTCTCATCTTGTGAGGAAAGAGTCTGAAGACTTTCAAATTAGGGAGTACAAAGTATAAAATAAATACCCACAATTATACATCATATTTTTTGTCGTCATAGTAACATGATATGTTGCAGCAAAGTGCTGTCCCATTCATATTTACACCATCTCAAGCCCTCACAGCCTCTCACACTCAACCACTTACCAGGTGACTTCAGTAAGTCCTTGAGGGTTCAGGGTTTGAGGGTTTAGGGGGGGACATTGGGATTTGGCCTAAGTGGGCAGACCCAGTCACCATTGTATAACTAAATTTAATTGGTTACAATCCTCGTCTTTAGATTGGCCGGATATCACTCTGACACAGACGCTACGTCTGTGTAGTGTGAGAAATCTATGTTTAAAAGCACTCCTAGAGCTGGATATTATGTGTCACAATATATTTACTTGTGGAAGTTTAAATCAAGAGAAAAGTCACTGAAAGTATTGTACACTGTGAAAGAAACCAGACGTCTCATGACACCACCATAAAAGGTAATAAATGTTGCTGGAGCAAGGTGGAGACTGGAAAGAGACAGGCTTCGAGCTGGAGGAGAAAAGGCTGAATGAAGTGTCTGACCACAGACAACAGGTCACAGGGCAGGAAGAACAGATCAGGTTTCAGCCAATCGCTGAGCTGATCAATGTGGTAACGAATGTGAAATATGAGACATTTCAGAGACTCTCCTGGAACAAAAGAATTTAAATCCCCAGCGATGGGCAGACCTCCTCCAGACCATCGGGCAAATACACCAGTCTGTCGGGTGGTACGGATTAGGTCTCAATTCCATGGAATATATACGTATATACATTTTGTTATTCATAGTGTGATTCAGTTTGTAACTGCATTTGCTTTTGTTAGACATTAAATACTTTTTGATTTTAACTTGAACCAGCTGATTCGGCCCTGATTGCTGACGGACAAAGGAGCAGAGGGGGGGGGCTCCTTTTCCTTGATGAGAAATTTGAACATAACAGTAGGAGGTGGTTTTCAATCCGCCACTAAATACTACTCCACTACATCTCAGAAGTAAATGTTCTACATTTGTCTGACAGGTTTTTTAAACTGTTCAGACAGTAGAGGCTGATGAAATACAAAGTATATTAGTGTTTTGAAATACAATAATTCAAAATGTGTTTGTCTAAATAAACTGGAGTGAAGTTGCTCAGATTGATTTAAATTCACTCCATCATTCTATTACATACAATGTGTGTTTGATAGTCAAACCTCTTGTGACAAACAGCTCAAAGAAGCTCTTTGATCTTAATTGATTAAAACATGATGTGATCATATGGTCATACTGTTGTGTTTACAGAGGTTAACAGATATAATGTAGTTGTATATAATATGAGCAACAATTGACCCGGTCAAGGATCTGGAGCCAAGGTTAGGAACAATTGTTTGTACATTAACTGTTTGCCAAGTAAGTTCCCAAACTTAAATCACTGACAAGTAATTAGTGGATGAAAAATTATTCAGATCCTTCACTGCAGTAAACGTACTAATACCATACTGATGAAACAATTTTCATCAGTATGGTATTATGCAGGTATAATGCAGGTATTTTACACTACGAGTAAAATACCTGCATTCAAAACCATAGTCAAGTATGTTATTATCAGCTAAATGTACTTTAAGTACAGAAAGTAAAAGTACACGTGCAGTAAAATGTACCCTGTCAGTGTTTTACTATTATATCTGATGTTTTAGGATATATACTGTATATTGCTGCATTAACGTGTATGCTGCATGTTTTTAACTCTTTTGGTTAGTTTAATCTTCAGCAATGCATCATATTCTATAAGATCATCGTATGTTTGTAGTGTCAGTACATTACATTATTTACCTCTGTGATGTAGTGCAATCTGAAAATCGCCCCCTAGCGTCTGTGTCAGAGTGATATCCGGCGAATCTAAAGACGAGGGTTGTAACCAATAAAATTTAGTTATACAATGGTGACTGGGTCCGCCCACTTAGTGTCAAAAAGAAAATCTACTCGTGAGCGAGCAGGTAAAAGACTCGCGAACAAGCAGGTAAAAAAAAAAAAAGTTTCGCGAGCAGAAGAGCAGTGATAGTAGTCGCGTGCAAGGGGCCGCCCATCACGCTCAAAGCATGGTTTTCTCCTCACAGGCTGTAATTTTGCTCGCACGAGCAGAGCTATTCTGCGCGGAGTAATGTAAAAGCGCTCATCAAAGTCAAATACACGTGGATCTCATTTGCGCTCTCGGATTTTGACAGTGATTTGCCTTCATATGAAGGTCCACGATGTTGAAGGAATACACCAGCACCTGGCGTTTAAACGTCATTATGTGACATTAATAACTAAGTTAAGTTGGCATGTAGCTAACTTATTTACTTAAAGTTGTCATAAGGAGTCAATGCATTGGCTTGCCGTATCAATGCAACAATCAACTATTTTGTCAGACATGACCTGTGTTATTTTGTTACATTAGTAACAGCTGGCTAACGCTAGGTAGCATTTGTTAATGCTAACGTTAGCTATGTGTTTGTTTGCCATGTGATATTTGTGACTTTGCCATGAGTGTTACAGTGCTGCTACCCTCAACTTTGAATGAAACCAAAATGAAAATGTTGACAGTATGCCAGACTCATTCAGCTGACACACAAATATCACCTGGCAAACAAACATTCAGCTAACTTAACATTAACCAACGTTTGCTAACGCTGGTTACAAACAGTGACGTAAACGTTGACGCACTTTGCACAGCTAATATTTTGTCAAAGGGAACATGATCAGCGTGCATTAGTTTGATAAATTTGCAATATGACAGCTGAGCATACTGCGTTAACGCTTTTCTCTTGTAAATACTACTACTACTACTACTGTCGTCAAGTTGCACAGATTGATTTACATTTACTCCATCATTTTATTACATACAATGTGTGTTTGATAGTCAAACCTCTTGCGAGAAACAGCTCAAAGCAACTCTTTGATCTTAATTGATTAAAACATGATTTGATCATATTTAATCATACTGTTGTGTTTACAGAAGTTAACAGATAAACAGCCTATTCATATACAGTATATACAATGATAACCTATCAATAAGCTTTAGAACTAAAGTAAAATATCCTTTAAATTAGAACTAGTATAAAAGGTGCTTCACAAGCTACCCTGGTGCTCATCAAACTCAACCGCTGAACTGAAAATAAATGTTTTGAAATAAATTGAATGTATAAACGTCAAACAACGAATTCAATGACATCAATCAATAATATGAGTCATTGATTTTACCTAGTCACATGAAATTATTTTCATTATATTTTTGGTTCGTCGTTATTCATTGCAATCTTTGGTATATTCTTTATTCATTCCATTCATTTAGTTTATTTTATCGTTTATTCATTTGTTTTTGTTTAGTATTTTTTATTTCTTTATTTATTTCTTTTATTTAACCAGGTGAGTCCCATTGAGATTAAAAATCTCTTTTTCAAGGGAGACCTGGCCAAGACAGGCAGCAACACAAGAAACACATAGTTACAGACAGGAAACACAGAACAAGACAGTTTAGTTATGTAGTTAGTCTAATGAATAATACATTTATAAATAACTTGATCATTTGATTTGTGTGAATATGAAATAGGTCCCTGTACACCATGACAAGAGATTGAGATTTAATTAATTAATTAAGAATTTTGAAGTTTTCCCTATTTTTCCAAAATTGGGTGGTGTCCTAAATTTAATCTAAAGTCAAATTCCCTTACTTATATTAATGACGTCTTATCGCGGAAGCTGATTACCATCATTTTTTATAGAAATGTATGGGTTTATGATTAATTTTTTAGTTATTAATAATCGTTACATATTTTGATATCAATTATGTATTACTTATTAAAACTGCTACAAGCAACCAAACTACATCTCGGAGCAACAACTAGTGGACATTAGTGGAACTACAGCTTAACACGTTTTGTGGCCATTCATTGGCCGCAAAGCATGTTCAGCTTTTTCCAAATATCCACCCACCTGCAGATATAAAGATATACATTTTGGAATTCAGCCTCTGATATTACCTGCTTTCAAAGAAATTTTGTTTATCTGTTTTCAATCCCAATGAGTTTTTAAACTTGATAACACCAGCCCCTCTTACCAGATTGATTGGCGGGTCCTTTCTACACCCTGCAACCTGGCTTGGCGAGGACCCAGTGGTGAACTGAGGCAGTTTACCCAGAGTGCGTCTGCCCTGCGGCAGGAATGTTGAGAAGAAGTTTCTGGAAGGAGTGGTGGCAGTGCTGACAGGGCGCTGGCTTGACACCAAGTCCCTAAGAGGGAGGGGGAGGGGGGGGGGGGGGGGGGG